CTTTTTGGAAAGTGAGTGGGTAGGGTTCAGGGTGTGGCTGGGGGCTTCCTCTGGGTGGGGAGTACACAGAAAGAGGAAGGGAAGGTCCTGGAGATTGAAATGTCTGAACGAACCCTACTGTTACGTGTAAGTTTAATGTAGTAGTAAAAATATAAAAATCAAGTAAATGCACATTTACTTTAAAAAAAGAGAAAGAAAAAAGACAAGGGCCGGTGGGAGGCGGGAGATAGTTCTGGCTGGAACTGCGTGTATTCATTCCACTCACTCAAGTTCCAGGGAGGAGACGGGTGCTCAGAGGAGGCAAGAAACTCACATGGGAGAGAGAGAGATCCAGGAGCTCCGGGGGTGGACGAGATCAGCTGAGGACAGAAGCTGCCCACTCAATCTGTAGTATGGAAGGTGCTCGTGATTTTGCAGGAACAGCTTGTGAGAACATGTATCTGATTAAAGGAGGCTAAGAGTGGGGTGAGAGTAGCAGAAACAGCACTTTGGATGCCGTGTGAGGGGCTGTGGCCATGTTGTGGTCTGTTTGGTGGCTGTGCCGTAGTTGAGCTAGCTGGGTTTTGGAGATAATTGCTGATTATTTCCTGACAGTCTATTAGAAACTGTGTGTGAAGTCATTTGGCCTGAGCAAGTCTAGAGCAAACGTTCTTCCAAACCAAAGGGTTTGTGCACCTTCCATTTGTCAGGCATCTGACCTTGGCGGGCTAAGGCCGTGTCAAGTTCCTTACTCACCAATGCAGAAGGGCCTTTGTCCCTACAAAGTATTACCACGTGTTCATCTTTGGCTACGGAAATGCAGCTTCAGTAGGGAGGTTTTCATTTGGATTTCTGTTATGCACAAAGTCGAGAACCTTTTCCTACTTTCAAAAGCCATTTGTATTTCGTTTCCTGTGAACACTCTGTCCTTACCCTTTGCTTAGTTTTCCACTGGGTTTTTGATATTTTCCTTATTGACTTGCATTAAAACAATTCTGTCTTTGACTGTGAAATGTTTCCATGGTTTTCTTTGGGCCTAAATTTTTATGCTATAACTTGTGTCAATATTTATGTTCTATGGGTTTTGTATCATCCTCCCATTCAAAGATAATTAAAAATAAATTCTTCCGAGTTTTCATTTAGTACTTTTAGGTGTTTTTTTTTTTTTTCACAAATGAATTCAATTTGCAATCCATCTAGGATTTTTTTTTTTTTTTTTTGCATTTAAGGCATGAGAGAGGAACTCAGCTTGGTTTTTTTCCTTGGGTACCTGTCCACTCTCTTAGAAGCCCCTGACTGGCTGGCTTTCTACTGATGTGTATTATTATCACATAGATCACTCCTTTTATGTCTGTGTGTTTGTGAAATTGATTTCAATTTGCTGGAACATGTGTTTATTTGTTTTACTATTCTATTTTTTTATTGTTTCAAAAAACTGTGTGTGTGTGTGTGTGTGTGTGTGTGTGCGCGCGCGCGCGCGTGCCTGCCTGCAGGCGGCTCACATGTATATCTGGGGATTGTGTGGCCAGCCATGAGACGGCAGATGAGCTGAGAGATAGTGTCACATGACTTCAAAGTTTTCAATTTTAAAATTCTGGTTTTCAAAAAACAAACAACAAAACAACAAAAAACAAGCTATGAGCTTTTGAAGGTCTGGCTCTAGTGATGAGAATTTTAGTTTGAATGGGGGAAAATGGTAAAATCTTGGAACTGAGGGTTAGCAGGCTGGCTCCGGCTACTTTCAGATGACCACGGAGTTTGCCAAATGTTCCATTTTTGTATTAGCAGAGTTCTGAGGACAGAGTCTGGCTTACTGAAATGGTGTTGTACTGAACAGAATGTTAAGAAGCAAACTCTGTTATTAAAAACAGGGCAAAATTGGTACCTGAGGTTCAAATGGGGATTAAATGAAATTACACGAAGCTAAATAATTATTGCTAAATGAACAAATTGAAGCGGTGTTTCTTGCTAAGATGCACTGAGCTTCAACAGCAAGGAAATTGAGAACAGTTACATTTAAAATTAGACTTTGGAGTTGAAGTTACTAATTTCAGGCATCTAAATATTGCGATTTTTAATAGTTGTGTCACATTTCTATTTCAAACAGAAATAGATACCATCAGCCGGGTTGAAATGAGGATTCGCACACACGTATTAGCACATGAGCATTAGAAATGAATTTATGCCAATTATGAAGGCAGAACCTTTTTCTGAAAAGCAGCTTGATTTGAAAACCTCTGGGGATTCTAAAGGCTCCCAAGGGGGATCCTTAGGACTTCTCTTGAGTGCATGAGCTCTGAGCAATTTCTGAGACTCCTTACATTTGCAAATTTTAAGGACAAAAGATGGAGTGTCTCCATGTTCCCTGAGACCCTTGTGTGCCTCTCTGTGTGACCACTGTTGGAGAGAACAGTTTATTTTCTGCAGGGCTTTGAAATCCCTTCTGAATGCTGATGTGTAGTTTCTCCAGCACATGAAGAATAGCAGCCTGTGGCAAAAGTCCTATGGCCAGAGCAGGCCAGGCCTTTGGTAGCATGCATCCTGTTGCTAAGACTGATTTTTTTCCCACTCTCTTATGTTCCATGTCAGCGAATAAAAAAAGATATCCAGTGATTATTGGGGATATTTAAGGAATGACTTAGGGGAGATATTCTGCATATAGCATTTTTTTTTTCTAGCTTGCTGGGACCATCAGAGATTTAGCAGCTGCACTGAGCTAAATATATCAATTCACTTAATAAGCATAGTGCAGAGGGTCACGGACCTGCTTTTTAAAAAAAAAATTAAAGAGATAAAATATAGACACTGAGGTTTTTATGATTCTATAAAAAGACAATGTGACCTTCTTCTAAAAGTAACAAGGAGTTTACTTTTAGACAGTATTTTGGGTGATACGTATTTGACCGTTTTGCTAGAACCAAAGTTGGGATATTATTTAAAAAATTGGAGGAAGCATAAAAGCATCAAAATCATTGGCTTCTTTCTTCACTTTTTCCAAGTCGTGATTATTCATATAGTTTTCTTGGCATCCGAACTTCTAGAAAAATGTTTCCTTCCCCACTCTTTACAATGAATTGAATGGCAAATGGGAATCTTGTTGAGACAAGCTCTTGCCTAATTAGACAAGGACATATTTCTCCTAAGAGCCTTGCATTGCAATAGTGATTACTTGTCCTCCAGATGATAGATAAAAATTAAATGCAAGAAGCACTTCGTTTGCAGAGTTTGTGGGAGGTTGCTGAGGACCTTTATCTTTTCTTTTCTTTTTCATTCCTCATTTCTCCAGACTTCTGTTTATTTGTTCTCTGCTATTGAAATATTTTCTCTTTGTTTTTTTGTGGGAGTTGAGAAGTCCTCGGTGCATCTCCTTGTTGGGCTCCTGATTTTGTAGCCACCTTCACCCTGTCTCCCCGTCAGTCCTCACCTTGGCTGAGTCATGGAGTTGAACTGTGTCTGCTTCCGGGTGTCCCCTTCACCACAGGCTTCCACTGCCTGCATGTGCACCTCAGAAACCTTTACTTTACACTCTTCCCTGACTTCCTGCCCAAGTGTGGCCAGACCCGTCTGTGAGACCCCTGTCCTGTTGGTCCCCCTTCAGTGTCCCTCAACATTACGCATACTCTTTGACTCCTTGAACCAGGATGCGGCTTGACACAGAGTAGCCGCTCAACCAATGCTGTTCCAAGGAGCTACCCTGCACGTAGCCTCATTTCTGACTCAGTTACACACAACAGGAGCTCCTTTTCTTCTTCTAAACTCTTGATTTTATGGTGCAGCTTCTTCTGGACTTATAAATCTGTCGTAAGTTGAGAATTTTGTAAGTGGAAAATGCATCCGTTGGACTCATGGAAGATGCTAGCATATCAACAGCACTCTGTGGAGTGGTGGTCTCTTACCCTCCATCCAGACTGGGAGCCCAGGTTCACTGCCCCTGTCCAGAGAGGATCATATGGATGGAACTGGGGGACATCATGTTAAGTGAAATGAGCCAGACACAGAAGGACAATACCTTTTTCATCTGGGAAAGCTAAAAATAGTCACCTGATTGTAGGATAGCGATGACCAGCATTTGGAAAGGGGGTTTAATAAATGGAGGCTGGATTTGATCAAAGCATGCTTTATACATGTGTGGAAATATCACACTGGACACCATTAATTCACATACAATTAATGCATATTAATGAAAAGCAAAACAAAATATTTTGAAAGCCTAAAACTTAAAAAAAA